GCTTCCTATTTGGATTCCACTCCAGCTATAGCCTGGCGCGATTTCACTCGACAGCCTCGTCAGTGTATGCGCTCTATCCATCTCAATTTTCTACTACATATTTGTTGAGCGATCGACTCTTGGTTGGTCCCTCGACAGCCACAGTTTCTTGTTACTAATTCTTTCTGGCCATTTGATCTTCAGTATGGAGCCAGCGAAGACAGCTGTTGATGAAAGTCTGCAACCTTTTTTTATTACAGCTTGATTCCACACCATATTTATGGTACAAGTATGGAATTTTCATCGTGGATATCGGTAGGCCAAATTTCGCAGGCCGACCATAGATATCAGGTGTGCGTCGGCGTGGGCTCGAACTCCGGACCATGTGCGTGGTCGGCGAGAGTCCTAACCACTGTACCACCTTTTGGAAATCCTCTTCGTTACACACCAAATTTCTGACCCGTAAAGTAGGACCAACTTGACACTGGTGTTGAAAATGCGCATCTTGTTCCTTATGCTAGCTGAGTGCAGAAGACTTCCAAAATGGTTTCAGGTTGATGTAGGCGTATCTTGCCTTTCCGATCGCAACTGGCTTTGACATCTTCCTCCGTTCCCCCTGTAATTGAAACAATGTTTCCTAGACAGATGTAGGAAGTAATCTCTGTTTGATCTGTCATGTTGTTGGCGGTTCGTTGGTTATCTTCATGACCTCCGTCTTCTCAATGGTCACCTGCAGTTCTGTCTGCACTGCCAGCTTCTTCAACCAGTCTGTTATAATTCGCCTGCACGTTTTCGAGTTTGTGTGACATATGCCATTAGTGAAATCCAGATCATCTAGAGTCTTCTTCCATAACTTATTTGAGAACACTACTGCTTTTATGTACCAGTGATGTTAAATTTACATTTGCGGGTGAGCATTGCCGCCATATAGATGAGAAATCTTCTTAGGTCCATTGTCAGATGATATACATGACACACGTTGGGGACTAAATTGGAGATTTGATTAAAAAGGTGTATTTTCACAAGAGGTACGTGGATGATATGGTTGCCACAGACTCTAAAGCGAATGAATACAATACAAAACAGTGTATTGTCAAATAAGTGGAGAAAAATAACGACTCATAACTCTTGCCAATCTGAGCCAACAGCCATATGAAAATACCAAATGCCAAGTGACTTACTGATATGTATCCACATATATATTTATGTGTGTGTATGTATGTTGGTCTCTCTTTCTGTTTGCTCGCTTAGTCTGTGACCATTTCACTTGTATGAACTTGTCTCCTTTAACAATGTATATTCTCCTTATATTATATATAATATATTATGAGTGTTTGTTGACAGTCCGTTGCTTGGTGACATATATCCATATATGGTGGTTGTTGACATGTCTGCTATATTCTGCTATGTATATTTGGATCGACACTCCATTATAATTAGCCATTCCTGTTAAGACTGTCTAATGATTGTTCACACCCTTGTCATATATATTTCGCTCTCACAATTTGTGTGACTTACTTACTTATTTTTGGTGTGATACCACTTTTGCTTCTCCTGGTGTTTGGAAAATAGAAGTATCATCGCAAACCTAGGGGTCTTCTGATTTCCGCCTTCTTGCATCAGCACTATTAGTTTCTCCACCAGTACATAGCAATAATTTAGTGACGAGTACATAACACTTACAACAGAAAACTCAGCAAGGCGTTTGAAGTAAAGACAGGAGCACAACAAAACTGACTATTATCGCCGATGATATTTCTGATTGTGGTGGAAGGAATCATCCAAAATATCGTTGGGAGCCAGAAGACAGGAATACGTGGAGCTGACGAGACTTCGAGGACGACTTGTGCTTGATGTCACATAAACTCGAAAATATACAACCGAAAACCAACTAGTTGGAAGAAAACTCAGCATTCACAGAACTTCAAGTAAACATACAGATAGTGATGATGAACATATCTAACCAACCAATAACAACAAGCGTCAATCACTGTCAATGGAAGAAATTCGAAGGGAGTCACTTCTTTCACTCATCGGGATATCATCGTTTTAGCTACAGATGAATCTGAGTTCAGTGTACAGTGCATTGAATAAGGGAGTAAAGAAAAGTGCGAAGAAAAACAAAAGAGAACTCTACAACACACTGGAAAGGGAAGCAGAACAGGTCATGGGTAATACAGACTTCAGAACACCATATCCGATAACCAGGTCGCTTTCGGGAAAGAGATGAAAGCAGATGAAACCAATGAGAGATGATCAAGTGAACCTAATTACCAAACTGCAGAAACAAAGAAGGAGTGGCTGGATCACTTCGTAAGACCATTTAATGCAGCTTGTCCAGAAATACCACCTAACAGATACAAAACTAGCAGTGGACAACAATCCTTCAACGGAAGTGGAAATCTTGAAGCCAATCAAGCCACTGAAATCGCGAAAGGCAGCAGCACCGGACAGAATTCCTCCGGAAGCACAAAACAGATCCAGAGACCGCAGCGGATAAGCTCATGCCACCGTTGCAGGAAGTTTGGTTAGTTAAGGTACCTACTGATATGAAGAAAGACTGCCTTTTCACACCACCAAATAAAAGCAACTTAGGCTCACAATCATGCTCTTGTCCACGGTAAGCAAAATATTAGGTGATATCATCCCGGGGAGAATAAGGGGCACACTGAATACAAAACACTATGGATTTAGGAAAAGCAAATCAAACTGCAACTCTGCCCGTCGTCATCATTCAGAGCATACAATCGCAGTCGAATGCCCACATCAACGTCATCGACTGTGAGAAAGCCTTCAACAGTGTTGACTTCGAAGTAATTTGGAAATTACTTGAAATAACTACGGAGTACCTTAAATCTTTATCAATCTCATTCAACAGCCATGCGACAACACCACATATCAAGTGATCCACAACGGAAAACTCAGCGAAGCTTTTGAAGTCAGAGCAGGAGTGAGACACGTCTAGCTACTATCACCGATATTTTATCTGATCGTAGTATGCTGGATTACGTAGAAAACTATAGGGTGCAAGAGTAAAGAGATACGATCGATTGACAAGAAGAGAATAGAAGATCTGGACTCCTCGAACGATCTATGTCTAATGTCACACAAACTCAAAGATATACAACCGAAAACCAACTAGTTGGAAGAAAACTCAGCATTCACAGAACTTCAAGTAAACATACAGATAGTGATGATGAACATATCTAACCAACCAATAACAACAAGCGTCAATCACTGTCAATGGAAGAAATTCGAAGGGAGTCACTTCTTTCACTCATCGGGATATCATCGTTTTAGCTCGAGGTGTGACGCCGGATGACGATGTCAGAGGCAGGATCGGATGAGCACAACAGACCTTCAGTAATCTGAAATCAGTGTGTAAACCTTCCGCATTCAGCATCAAGAAGAACAAGAATCATACCTTCAACACTAATGCCAAATCATTGTTTCAGTATGGCTTAGAGACTAGGTGCGTGATGAAACGCACTTCCGAAAGACTTCGGACTGTGAAGTTACATCGACTGAGATGGCTAGGATATGTGTTACGCATGCCTAGCCATCGCCTCCCTCGACGGGCAATGTTAGCTGACATACGGTCAGGCTGGAAAACAGCCAGCGGTGGTCAAACCAAAACACGGCACCAGTCAACGAAATCCACAACAGTTAGATTGAGCCACGTTGGAAGGTGAAGACTTCCTGGTTGGGGTCCTCTGGACGGTAAAAACCAATGGCCGAAAACAATCGGTGATGTGACTCGAAATTGTTCTCAGTGTTTGGCGCATATGCATCCAAATAATTGAAGTGGCCAACACGCTTTACCACTTCACTCCCTATTTCTAAGCTAGGAGTCAATGTAGTCCAGTCCTGTAGCATCATCTTACATTTGGCGGGGACGAATCGCATGCCAAACATTCGCAGCTCAAGGTGTTCAGAAGACTCCACATTATGTCAGCGTCCTCACCTAGAAGGACTACATCATCTGCATATTCTAAGTCAACGAGATTATTCCCTGGTAGCAAGTCAAACCCTGAGTCTGTGAAGTGAGTTGGGGTTAAGTCCATTAGTACATCTATGATGAAATTTAATAAAAATGGGGATAATGGGCATCCCTGACGGACACCGGTAGGATCCACTGCATGTTAGGACAACAGAACACCATCTTAAATGGGTGTATGAAGAAAACGATCGTCTGATTCAGTTAACCCTAGAAACAGATGTCCAACGTCATCTTTCGCTAAACACACCTTAGAGACAGTTGATTTCAATAGCACCACTAACGCTATGAATGAAACTGGTTTGCGTAATTTACGCAAATCCTTCGTAACCATATTCACAAAAAGGTTTGAACCTGTCTTTACATATAATTAAAAATTATTTGTTGTTAATTTGCATTTGCCTGGGTAATTAAATCTTAGTATTAAAATTCATTTCGCTTAATAATATATTTACCCCCTCCCAGTTTCCCAATTATCCTTATTCATTGTAAGAAGGGTTAATGACACTCTCCAGGTAGTCGAAATCAACAAAGTTCTTACTGAAAGCGAAGCGCCTAGCATACTGAGTCACGAATCCGTATGATAATCATTGCAGAAGTTGAAAAGCAACAAGAAGCAGCATTTATCCCTCTTCGAAGATATGACAAGCCGTCCATGCATGACAACAAACAGGTTTAATAAGATACACATTCTTGCTTACAGATGAGATAAAATGATGATGGCAATCTATTTTTATAACAGTTAACAAAAATGAAAGTATCGAGTAGAACTATATTGCTATAATAGAGATTGTACAAATAGGATCTTTTATAAAATACGCAGAACTGTACAATTATGAAGTAACCATCAGGTAGGATACACTGCCAAATCCATGCATTGCTTGCCATTAGTGTACAACAAAAAATATCTTCTAAAGCCGAAATTAAAGGTGCTGCCTGATAAATAAGTTAGGTCAATCAGTTCAAAAAAAAACCATTTCAAGTGCTTCAGGTGATTGAAATTTACTTGCACCTCTGTATATATTCAACGAAGTTGAAAAATCGATGGTGTACACTCTGGTTTATATTTTAGTTCAAGTGATTGAAACCTAGACAGAGAACAAGAAATGCAGATAGATAAAGAATGAGAACATACATTTCTGAGTTAAGGTGATAGTAATATCCTAGAATATGACCAATAGATTTCTGCAAACCAATGTAGTAAAATCCAGCAAATGATGCACCTTCTATGTGTTTCAAACCAGGATCAGGAACAATGAACTTCTCCTACGAAAATATGAAAACACTAAAGTAACTTACCTTCCATCTCATAAAAATGGTATCAGATTTCTCCAAAACAGAATAATCAAAACTATCGATGTGAAAGTTTCCCAAAGAGCTTGTTGCAGGGATTTTTTCCTGAAAATAAAATTATAAGTAAAACAACAACAAGTAAACAAGTACCCAGTGTAAGACATCTGTTTCCATTGTAGCATCCCATTTACCTGTTAAGAAAGGATGCAATCTGCTGATTATCTCTCCTTCAAAATATGTAGTTAGACTGGGGTATTCCTGGGTCAAATTCTCAATTTTCATGAATCCGTATATCATCTTTTGCTGCATATCAACATACTGAATAAATATTATGATTATTAGAGGTATCATCTTGCTTGTATTGTCACTTCAACATTGTATTTTTTACCCTTGGACCGTTGAGAACCGGTGAATACAGCACCACTACAAAGACATGATGTTATCGTTGTATGTGGAAGCTCTTGTGGTAGCAAGTCGAGATCGAAGACTCCCAGCATTAGAGACTATATTTGTAGTTCTGGAAAAAAAAACAGCAACAGTGCAAATGCACCAACTAATTATTCATACCCAACATAGAGATACAGTATGAAAGGAATTATTAACAGACCGCTTCAGAAATCTGCCTTTGTTGGAAGTACACAAGGATACAATATCAGCAAAAAGTTAGTAACAACACTAAATGACCAATTCTTTAAAAACCTAATCGTCAGCTAAATGATGGATAAGAAACGAAGTTTGGTTGAGGTCAGTAAAGTTTCGACTTAAAAAATTTTCACCACTTTTCTACCAAAATCTTACGTTTCTGGTACACCAGCGACAGTCCCTCAGTATACAAATCAACTATAGAAAATTAATCTGATGCTCGCTAGCGACTTGCTACTGGATGCAGTTTCCTGGAGTTCTAGTGAGAAGTCGTGACCAGTGAGGTCCATCCAGTCACGTGTGAGGATAGATGTCCCACCAATGACATTGGTTGGGGTTGCGCTAAATCACGAATTGGTGGAAGTTAGAATTCATGACCTGGCCAGTGAATCGGGTCCCAGTGGCTGAATGGATAAGAGCTAGCTCGCCTTGTAACCGGTATGTTCTGTGCGTCGGTGGCACAGTGGTTAGGACTCTCGCCGACCATGCACATGGTCCGGGTTCGAGCCCACGCCGACGCACACCTGATATCTATGGTCGGCCTGCGAAATTTGGCCTACCGATATCCACACTGAAAATTCCATACTTGTACCAAAAATAGTGTGGAATCAAGCTGTAATCAAAAATAAAAAAAATTAAAAATTAAAATAAAATTCAAACCCTGCCGATGATTCCCAAACTAGTATGTAACAGCTGTCGAGTACTCGCTGGTTTTCAATGGTTCTTTAACTGATATTAATCTGTGATCCACTCGTATAAACAAAACTAAGCCTTACAAACCAACTATAGAAAATGTGTGAATGAGTTTCGTGGAAAACTCTTACAAACCCCTCAACAAACGAGAATGCAGTAAAGCTGGTTCGTCGATCATCCGCCGGAAACACCATGACTACACCGCACAAATTCCCTAACTGTAACACTAACAAGTGACTTCTCTTAGTACAGTAGGATCACAAAGAACAATCGTATCAGCGCCCATAACTCGTCGGATCAGTGAGAAATGCAACAAGATATTTATGGGGTTTAAATATAAAAATCATTTTACTTTACGAATCGCAATGTGCAAGATAAAGTGAATTTATTTATGCAGTTGAATTCAGACTGTATGGTTTAATAAGTAGCATTATAACTGAATAGGAGGAAAAATCCAAGTCATATTTAAAAGGCGGTTCTATAATCAACCAGGTGTTCAAAGTCAGATTACTAAAAACCAATAGTGACTTGTTACAACTTTTCTTTTTTACACTATGCCAGGGGCAGTGGGCGAAGTCGTACTGTTGGGGAACAGGGATGTAACAGCAGTGAGGTGTTTTCCTCAGATGAGCAGTATACCAGCCATGCTGTCTCTCCACTCCGGAGAGAGGGGAGTAGAAAAAGTCGACCCCAACAATCGTACATCACGACATACCCTACGGTGGACCGTAACCGGCGGTAAGTTTACTAATACGGAAACAAACCAAGAAACCAGTTTATACAGGCCGTGTGACCGGCCTCAAGCAGCTGTCCCATGGACTCTGTGGTCACACAACCGACTGCAGTTCAGATGAACTAAAGGATGAAATCTACCTGAAACTGTCTAATTTTCTGTAAAAAGCAAAACGTTCAGATATTGTTTGTCTTAGCAGGCGACTTCAATGCCAGAGTTGGGAAGTTGTACCAGACTAAAAAGTATGTAGGTGGTACGTATGGAGTTCCCTGCCGACGAACCGACAACGGCGATCGGCTTCTACTCTTTCGCTAAGATAATCTTCTGTTCCTAGTCAGCTCTAACTTTAGGCCCAAAGAGAGAGACTTCTTAACCAGGCGACCTTCATCACCAAATCAACGCTGGACTCAGATAGACCACATAGCGATAGGGTAGTGTTGGCGAGGATCAGTATAAGGCTGCCGCTCCTTTGAAACACGTGCGTAGACTCTGATCACGCTCTGGTTCGCACACGTTTATGCTTGCTTACGATTAAACGGACATAAAAAATTGACGGCAGTGAAGCAGTTACGTCCTCAACTAGATGGAGACACTGAGTCCCTATTTAAGGAGGAAATAGAGAAACATGTATCTGAGGTCGACAGTAGGACTGATTCTGAGATAGCCGGGCACAACATACAGTTAGCTGCAGACACAGCTGTAAAAACTGTTAATAACCTAAAACCAAAAGTTAGTAAGAGCCATTGGATCTCTACCGCCTCATTCGAACTGATTGACGCAAGAAGTCTGATTCCAGCGACCTCCGATTAGGATGAGGAGTTAAAGCTACTCAAAGGAAAACTAACAAGAAGTCTTCGTAACGACCGTGAACAGTGGTGGGTGACAAGAGCGAAGGAGATGGAAAAAGCATCGGCGATTGGTAACGCCAGACAACCATTTAGACTTAACAGGGAAACAGGTGGTATAAAGCAAATGATAAGTGAAACAATCTCTGAGAAAAAAGGCACCATAATTACCTCTCAGGATAGACGACTGGAACGCTGGAAAGAACACTTTCAGGAGCAATTCAACTGGCCTACAACCACGCTCAACCTGCCGAACATCCAACATCTCCCTGAATGGGATATAGACACAGGTCCTCCGTCCCTAACTGAGGTTACTAAAGCTGTCACTAATCTGAAACAAGGCAAAGCAGCGGGACCTGATGGAATGATTCCAGAGGTATTTAAGTACGGTGGCGACAGTTTACTGTCTGCATTAACTGAGGTACTAGGCAGCGTCTGGGAATCAGAGGAAGTCCCTTCGGGTTGGTGTAAGTCACTGATTATCCCCATAAACAAGAAGGGAGAGAAGTCTTGTGATAATCACAGGGGGATAAGCTTGACTAATGTAGTATCTAAAGTCCTAAGCTTAATAATATTGCGTAGACTAAGTCGTGCTCGAGAGGCACAAACACGGAGAACCAGGCAGGCTTTAGACCAACAAGAGGGTGTATTGATCATATCTTCACCCTCCGACATATTCTAGAACATAGGCACTCTTACCGACGCCCAACAATCATTATATTTCTTGACCTAAAGGCGGGATTCGAATCTGTCGACCGAGAGGTTCTCTGGCGATGCTTGGCTGTAAAGGGAATGCCTAGAAAATACATTGCACTGATCAAGGCACTCACTCTACTAAAATTCATGCAACCAACCAGGTGAAAGCTTATGGAGACTTGTCATCTGAAGTGGTGATAACCAGTAGTGTCTATCAGGAATGCCATTTATCCCCGTTTCTATTCAACTTCATCATAGATGTACTAATGGACTTAACCCCAACTCACTTCACAGACTCAGGGATTGACTTGTTACTAGAGAATAATCTCGTTGACTTAGAATATGCAGATGATGTAGTCCTTCTAGGTGAGGACGTTGACAAAATGCAATCTTCTGAACGCCTGGAGCTGCAATCTTCGAATGTTCGGCATGCGACTCGTCCCGCAAAATATGAGATGATGCACCAATGTGCAGCAGTTGAAGTCGCCTCACTCCATGTAACACAGGTAGGTAGAAGAAATGCGAAATAGAGACAGTAAACAGGGATATGAAACAAAAGGAATAGTAATAACGAGGAACAATATAGTTTCATTGGGTACTATAAGTCACAAAGAGTGGATGCATCTGCGCCAGACACTGAGAACGATTTTGAGCCGTATCACTGATTGTTTCCAGCCATTGGTGTTTACCATCCGAGGACCCCAACATAGAAGTCTACACCTTCCTACGTGGATGGCTTAAACTAACTGTTGTGGATTTCATTGACTGGTGCCATGTTTTGGTTTGACCGCTGCTAGCTCTTTTCCAACCTGACCGTAAGTCAGCTAACATTGCCCGTCGAGGGAGGCGACGGCTAGGCATGCGTCACACAAGACAAGGCTGTGAAATTACATCGACTGAGATGGCTAGGATATGTGTTACGCATGCCTAGAAAAAGAGCCAGCGGTGGTCAAACCAAAACATGGCACCAGTCAATGAAATCCACAACAGTTAGTTTAAGCCATCCACGTAGGAAGGTGTAGACTTCTATGTTGGGGTCCTCGGATGGTAAACACCAATGGCTGGAAACAATCAGTGATACGGCTCAAAATCGTTCTCAGTGTCTGGCGCAGATGCATCCACTCTTTGTGACTTATAGTACCCAATGAAACTATATTGTTCCTCGTTATTACTATTCCTTTTGTTTCATATCCCTGTTTACTGTCTCTATTTCGCATTTCTTCTACCTACCTGTGTTACATGGAGTGAGGCGACTTCAACTGCTGCACATTGGTGCAAAGTTCTACGTCGAAAACAGACGGTTTCGAAATTATAGTTGACTGACAGAGAATTCATTGTAGAATTTTGCACAAAGAGGAAAGAATTGAAGGTAACTATAGTGAACGTTAAGAAAGAATAAGTACACGGAGAATAATGATATCTTGACGGATCCAGAAGTTCATAAGGTGTGAAATTACCAGTGCTATTAAGGACTGTTCTTAGCTACGACACCGACAGTTCCCAGCCATTAGTTTCCAGCACCTCAACGATTCTAGGTGCATTTGTCTACGTGACTCAAACCAATAAACAACGCCTTCATGAATAAAGCAATGACGCGTTATGCACACAACGTGCCCTAGCCATCTCAACCCCTAGAGTTTCACAACTTCACCGATTGACTTCCTTTCCTTAACTAGTAGCGTACGCCTAACCTATCACACCACCAAACGAGAGAAAAAGAAAGCAAAGATCTATAATCAAAGGTAGCCAGCAATAAAGAAGGACAGAGCGAACTGCTGTGCTGTTTCACACGTCTTTTGATCGATAGCCGGATATCATTTCTACTCCAGAAATGAAGACGGTTGGACAGTAACACATGAGCCTTTTGTATCCGCACTAAAGTTTCGTCAACAATCAGTCTATTAGGACCGATGCTACTTTTTTATTTTTTTGATTACAGCTTGATTCCACACTGTATCTTTGGTACAAGTATGGAATTTTCAGCATGGATATCGGTAGCCCAAATTTTGCAGGCTGACCATAGATGTCAGGTGTGCGTCGGCAGGGGATCGAACCTCGGACCATGTGCACGGTCCGCGAGAGTCCTAACCATTGTGCCACCGATGCACTTTTCAAAAAGGTGAAGTGGTGAACTAGTTCAACCAATGCAGTCCTTATATTTGGGCTGGGAGTTGGTGCAGAACAGTTCTGCAGAACCACCACCTCACACTTGAGAGGAACGAGGTGCATACAAAATATACTAATTTTCTGCCTAAGGAGTTCAGTATGTTCACCTAGAAGGACAACTTCGTCTGCACACTCCAAATCAACGAAACTGTATCCTAGTAACAAGTCAATCCCTGAGTTTTTAAATTTGATTAGGGTTACATTCATTCAAGAATACAATAACATCCAGACAATTTTAAAGATGCATCGAAATAATGACCATGCAAAATAAGGCCCTAAAGTTTATCAGAGTTCTAATGTGACTTAATTTTGTTGACGATTGTTAAAAATGTGTTAGGGAACAGTTTTATCAAATTTTTAACCTTGATTACTGGATCGTATCAACAAACTGAATTAATCAGACACGGACGACTCTATTGTACCTTCAGATTAAATAACTGGTCATTAAAAGTCAGTGTGAACAATCCAATCATAGGAGGAGTAATGGAGTAATCGATGAGTACTGATGAAGAGTTCCAGGTCACTTTGAGACAACTGTTTAATAATTCCCAGTTTTCAGTGATTTCCTGAATGATGTCAGTTTGTAATTTAATTCGAAGCGCATTAAATTGCTGCAGACGACTGACCGACTACAGGGTGCACTTCCTGGTGTTTTTGTGAGACGTCATGATCAACGGGGTAAACAATAAGTCAAGTACAAGGATAGACACTCGCCGATGACAACGGTTAGTAGCGGTACTATATGTCGTAAATCTGCAGCAGTTAGAAATCATGGACCAGCTATTCAATCAGATAAGAAATAGTAATCAGGAAAAGAGATATAAAAACAAATAAGAGCAGAGAATAAGTCAAAATATGAATGGATAAAAGGTGGACACGCACACAGATAAATTTCAATAAAGGAAAAATCCCCATTTAGACATTTAGAAAACAGAAAGATTGAGCGAAGAAATATTTACTTTCCAATTAGATCCTCATCTCTGGCTCTACTCTAATATATATATATATATATATATATATATATATATATATATATATATATATCATTTTAATTTCAATACAACAGTTTGCCAATCAAGTGGCGATAAGTTTGTTAACAATAATTAGTCAGTGTCAGTGGGTTGATAATTAACGAAGAAAATTATATTTGTCTAAATTATTTATTTTGACCACTTCATCTTTAATTTACGTGTTATCCTTGTAAAATTAATTTGTTCTATCCATTTCTACCTTTTAAATCTATATTGATTTTCTTCGTTAACTATTAACCCATTGACACTGTTTAATTATTGTTAACAAACATATCAGTCCCACTTGATTGGCAAACTGTTGTGTATTGTGATAAAAATGCTATGGATATATATATTAGAGTAGAGCCAGAGATGAGGATCTAATTGAAAAGTAAATATTTCTTCGCTCAATCTTTCTGTTTTCTAGATAAATTTCAATCAAAAGCAAACGACAATCGAACTGGATTTACTACTAGTGATATTACTTGACGGGATTTGAAGACTGACAGAAATAAAATAACAAACTTAACGTATTGAGTAATGGTAACTCTTCTTCAGTGCATTACATGCTGACACTGAGATGAATGGTGTGCTGACCACGTGTATGTATACTGCGTCAATGAGAAACACAAGAGGGAAAAATGTAACGTATGCCACAACAAATTACGAAAGTGTCACCGACACATTAAGATCGACACAGTATGCAAAGGAAATTTTCAAGAAGAATAAAATTCCAGGTAATATGATCTGCTGTTCTCAAACCCATACAAACCAATGCTGATTTCATTAAATGAACGCCTGGTGCATATACACTACTATTATTAACAGAGATGATGATCAGGAAAGCCTTGATGGTTATTGCTTCCCGGCTGCGGAGATCTTTCGGTTGTTGAAACATGCAAGCCACTTATTCAGAAATTTGCATCAACTCTGATGGACTGATTGCTGGCGTGGTATTCTCACACTCGTGTGGCATTGTTTAATTCGTATCTTTCATGCTGACACGATATATAGCTATCGATTAAAAGCCGAGTGCACTACGCGGCTGTTTGCATATTAAGTGGTATAAAATAGACAGAAATAATCAGATTATCTACAGAGTGCCCGATAAAGAGGGAAAGTCAATAGATGTGGTTCACGAGCTGCGCTGATTTCGATAACTAGAGTGTGTGTTTAAGCATGATGATGCAGAAGGCGAGTTAGCAGGGATGAAAAACAAACAGAGAAGCTGAGTATAATCTACAGATCATTGAACTAGTTAATTAAGAAGAGTGTCACACTAAACAATAAACACTTTTACTACTTAGGGGTAACTTAAACAACAAACTCCAGGTAAAAGAGACCTAGGGAACGCCATACGGAATAACCAGGTCGCCACAAGGGAACAGATCAACCTGTGATATTCAAGATTCAGAAGAACATAAGTCATGCGCACCCCAAATTTTAACACTAAGTATTATCACTGAACAGAGTACATAATACCAGCCAACTCTACCTCAACTTCGACAGCATTGACCGTGAAGCGATTTTGAAACTGTTCATACAACATGGAGTACAGTGCTGTAAACATTTATGAACAGCATCCAGCACATATCTGTTAGTGATAAGTGCCCAGCAACTCACAACCGAAGCCTCACTGAAGCGTTTGAAATGAAGACAGAAGTAAAACATGTTGGCCTTCTATCGCCCATCAACTAACTGAATGTGTACGGGATTGGGTGACAGATTGTAAGGAGTGAGAAGATGTTTGCCCAAAAAATGACTCCAGAAGATCTGAAATCCACAGATGATTTATGTCTCGTGTTACACAAACTGAAAGAGATACAAACGAAGACCAACAAGTTGGCAAAGAAGGCAGTTAAGACAGGACTCCAAGTGAATATATGGAAGACATAGGTGATGAAGATATTCAACCAACAATAAGCCCCAGTCACTACCAAAGAGAGAAATTTGAAGGGAATTGCCTATTCCACTTATCCCGACAACATCGTTCCAAATGCACATGGTATGGATGAGGATCGGACACCAATACAGGCGTTCACTACTCTGAAATCCAATCTGTGTGCAGATCTAAAACGCATGGTACAAGAACAAAATTCTTAAAACTTATAGTCAATTCAGTGATCCTATACATTTAAGAGACTTGAAGCGCCCGTCACAAAAAGCATTTCTCAAAGCCACTGTAGGCTGATAAGCAGCTGCCTTCGTTCCATACTGAAGGCCAAAAATCCAGTGAGTAAGTATCAGAGATAATTAACATTATGAAAAAATCGGTTAACAACCTGTTGCCGAATAAATATGCAAAAAAAAATGAAGATGGGTAGGACCGTTAAATGAAATCACACACAGTCAAAGAGTAGAACCCAAATGGAAGGTATGGTCTGAGTAAGGCTGTGAGATTGATGTGGATATCATATGAAATGAAAGCTTGTAGGTAGTTACAGAGCCAGTTGAAGGTGATTGCAGAGGACCAAATGCAGTGATGTGATGCTGAAACTCTGTGTTCTACTGGAAACACCAACGTTAGTTCAGATAGAACTGGATTGAAAAAGACCAATACACCACACCGAATCGTGGAGTCTCTCTCACTGTTTGTTTGAGTCACAAGGGGTGCGGAATGCCCGGTCGGAGTCTTCGTAACGTTAAGAATCAATGGCTTGACACTGTTGGTGATATGGCTTAAAACCCTTTTCAATCGCGTAGATGCACCCACGCATTGTAGGTCTCATTATTTATAATACCCTTTGGTTCCACGTAGAACATAAAACTTTAATAGCTAATCTCCATTTCATTTCACTGTCTAAAGTCCTATATGGCCGGCTCCACGATTACCCATAGATTAATCTCCTCCATATGGGCAGCCGGGAAGCAACAACTGCCCACACACTTCCAAAAGCACACATACAGATAAACAGGAAACCCAACTTGTCATTTCTCATTCAGTCTTAATTCGCGGGCCTGGTGCGCCATGTCACTCAACGGTCTACTCAGCCAATCTCATCTTCAGTATGGATGGAAGGAAGCTGTTGATAAAAGTTCGAAGACTGTCAGAGGTGCTTTTCGTCACGCACCTAGTCTCTAAGCCATACTGAAACACTGATTCGGCATTAGTGTTGAAGGTATGATTCTTGTTCTTCTTGATGCTGAATGCGGAAGGTTTACACACTGATTTCAGATTACTGAAGGTCTGTTGTGCTCATCCGATCCTGCCTCTGACATCGTCATCCGGCGTCACACCTCGAGCTAAAACGATGATATCCCGATGAGTGAAAGAAGTGACTCCCTTCGAATTTCTTCCATTGACAGTGATTGACGCTTGTTGTTATTGGTTGGTTAGATATGTTCATCATCACTATCTGTATGTTTACTTGAAGTTCTGTGAATGCTGAGTTTTCTTCCAACTAGTTGGTTTTCGGTTGTATATCTTTGAGTTTGTGTGACATTAGACATAGATCGTTCGAGGAGTCCAGATCTTCTATTCTCTTCTTGTCAATCGATCGTATCTCTTTACTCTTGCACCCTATAGTTTTCTACGTAATCCAGCATACTACGATCAGATAAAATATCGGTGATAGTAGCTAGACGTGTCTCACTCCTGCTCTGACTTCAAAAGCTTCGCTGAGTTTTCCGTTGTGGATCACTTGATATGTGGTGTTGTCGCATGGCTGTTGAATGAGATTGATAAAGATTTAAGGTACTCCGTAGTTATTTCAAGTAATTTCCAAATTACTTCGAAGTCAACACTGTTGAAGGCTTTCTCACAGTCGATGACGTTGATGTGGGCATTCGACTGCGATTGTATGCTCTGAATGATGACGACGGGCAGAGTTGCAGTTTGATTTGCTTTTCCTAAATCCATAGTGTTTTGTATTCAGTGTGCCCCTTATTCTCCCCGGGATGATATCACCTAATATTTTGCTTACCGTGGACAAGAGCATGATTGTGAGCCTAAGTTGCTTTTATTTGGTGGTGTGAAAAGGCAGTCTTTCTTCATATCAGTAGGTACCTTAACTAACCAAACTTCCTGCAACGGTGGCATGAGCTTATCCGCTGCGGTCTCTGGATCTGTTTTGTGCTTCCGGAGGAATTCTGTCCGGTGCTGCTGCCTTTCGCGATTTCAGTGGCTTGATTGGCTTCAAGATTTCCACTTCCGTTGAAGGATTGTTGTCCACTGCTAGTTTTGTATCTGTTAGGTGGTATTTCTGGACAAGCTGCATTAAATGGTCTTACGAAGTGATCCAGCCACTCCTTCTTTGTTTCTGCAGTTTGGTAATTAGGTTCACTTGATCATCTCTCATTGGTTTCATCTGCTTTCATCTCTTTCCCGAAAGCGACCTGGTTATCGGATATAGTGTTATGACGTCTGTATTACCCATGACCTGTTCTGCTTCCCTTTCCAGTGTGTTGTAGAGTTCTCTTTTGTTTTTCTTCGCACTTTTCTTTACTCCCTTATTCAATGCACTGTACACTGAACTCAGATTCACCTCTTATTGTCCAAATTTGTATTAGTTCATTGCCCATATCACCATCCGTCTCTCTTCTGTTAGTTTTCACGTGTTTCAGGGAGGTATTCCTGGTCTTTCTTCTTCTTTCTTCCCAAAATCACTATATACTTTACTCCAAATATCACTTTCAGAGAGTTTTACTGTTCTTCCACACAGGTTTACTCATTGATGCTGCCCAATGCCTCCGACTTTACTATGATGGCTACGGTGAAGGTGTCTTTCGTGGTTTTGTCCTTCATTTACCTAGTGGTTCAACTTGAATTAAGGCTTCCAACTTGACTTCGAAATTTCCATGCACTAGAAAGTGGTCTGAGCCCACATCTGCTCCTCTTTTCGGATTTGTGTTTGTAAGGCTGCGTTTCCACATTCTTGAGCAGCATTGAAATGAAGTCACTTTGTGTATGTCTGTCCTGTGCACACTACGTCACATCACAAAAACAATGAAGGCACCGAAGTTTGCGAAAAATTCTCTGTTATCATTTACCACTTCGCCAAGGGCCTCTCGAACCATGATGAGTTCTCTTCATGTATTGTATATAGATATGTATCACCCATGAGGATTTTAATGTCACCATTTGGGATGTTGGCCATTATTGTTTGTAGTTGTCTGTGAAAATCTTCCTTCGTTTCCTGTTCCGCGTTGTTTGTAGCACTTTATGTAGCATTGGATAATTGTAACCTTGTTTTCTTTTGAGTTGAATATTGCTGTCCTAGTCCCAGAGGATATGGGTTCCCAGTGCATTAGAGCTTCGGTTGCTGTTGATGACACTATGAGACCCAATTTGCGTCTATCCACTGGATCGCATTTGACGGATTAGCAGTAATATCGCACTATAATATAATAAAATCGTCTTGATAAAAGAGTGATTTCTTTCTACAAACTCAATCAATTGGGTTAGCATAGGATGCAGTAAGTGATAATTAGCAGCAGTGTCCCCATAATGCGGTGAGTATGTCTGTTCTTTTAGGGAAATGACTTACATATTTCTGAATTATTGTCTGTGAGATGCGTCTGAATACGTTGAGGCAATAATGACACAGTGCTAGTCAGTGCTAACTTAGGGCTGAAAAAGGGCCAGTATACGCTGAACTAAATCTGATTGTTCTAAAGTAATGCCAGCCATTGCCAAATCCGGACTGATAGGGCTGAAATCAGGCTGATAAAAAACCCAGTAGGTTCTGAGCTACATATGAAAATACCGACAAAAAGCACAGGTGCTGAATTAGTGCCAGTCATTCTGAAAACCAGCGCTTTTA